GGGGGGCTAATAATTGCTAGCTTCAAATCCAGGACCAGCAACTTGCTCCTAGCCATGGCCTAGAACAACCTGGCTCTGGTCCAGGGCAAGCCGAGTGATTTTGGCAGAGCATCAGTGCCAGAAAGCCTTCTCCATGTCTGTACTGGGGCCAGGCAGCTGGGAACTATGCCTGTACTGCCATCCTTTCCCCTAGCTCTCACTCCTTGACTGCAGAGCAAATGCAACTTCTAGCTTGTAGGGAGCTGAGCCAAGGCCAGGGAACTGGAAAAAAAACATTCACACTGCCCCTTCTCCCCAGTCCTCCCCTCCACACCCCCACCCCACTGCAGCATGGGCACAGCTGAAAGATACCTGACCTCAGCGTGGCTGCCCAGTAGTTGGAAGCTGTGCCCACACTACAGTTGGGTGGGGAAACAGGAGGAGGAGAAGTGGCAGCAGCACAGACACATTTGCAACTGTTTGGCCCTGTCATAGCTCCTCATGGACTGGAAGCTGCACCCATGCCACAGCTGGGAAGCAGGGAGGCTGAGGAAAGCAGTGGTGGCATGGGCAAAGCTCCTAGCTGCCTGGCCCCAGTGTGGACATGGGAAAAGACCCCTGCTGCTGACACGCCACCATGGGCGACTGGTGCCTCCTGAGTTTGCGGGGCACCAGCAGGGCATGACCAGGGGAGATGGGTCCCCCAGCGGCCAGTACCGAGTGCACCAGCGGCATGGCAGTTGTGCAAGTGCCAGCACTTCCACCCCCAGCACTTCTGCTGCTGATGTGCCACCAGCAGAACCAATTTCAGGGGGGGCATTACTGCTCTCCATGCCCCCCCTGCCAGCCAGAGTGCTCACTCAGAGGGGGCACCAGCAATCTCGGGACACACACACACGTGTGCCCCCCCTACGCGTCCCCTGTGCACACCACCAAAGCCACTCAGCCTCTGCTAGACCAGAGCCGGGAGAGCAGGGAGAAGCAAAAGCAGCACAGGCTCAGTTGGAAGCTTCTCCAGCCCTGGCCTGGACACAGGCACAGCCCCACAAGTTCTGCAGGCCAGATAGCCTGTGGGCAGTATGGTGCTGACCTCAGTTTAAATCGTTTGGGTTGGCACATGTCACTACTGGCCTCTGAACAATATATTGGACTGTGGGAAATAGATTTTGTACCAAGCTGTCCCAGCTTGAAAGGCTACACAGAAGGATTTCTGAATACCCAAAGAATAAGCATTTAAAAGTAATCCATCTATACCAAACTAAAGCACCTTGCCTTGCATGAACAGTTACAGCAAAAATACTCCTTTAGACTACTGACTTACCGTGGAATCTGTCCCATCCAGAACATTTTGTATTAGTCTTTTCAGCTCACTGAGAGCAGCACGTAGACTGCCAGCTGGGACATCTTTGGCTGATGAGGTTTCTGAAGATTCATCCATGGAGGAGTCTGTAGAGACTGCAGAGTCTGCGCTGTCATTTCCTCGGAGATGAGAGCAAAGATATCTGACTTGGCAATAGGCTTCCCAGAGCTGCAGTCTCAGCTGGAACAAGAGAGTATTACATTAATCCATGACATCATGGATGCAGATTTGATCGACTATAGGCTCCCAGGTTGTGATCAGACCTGTTTGCTAGAAAATGCACCCTATTTCAGATAGCATATACATGAAAAATAAGTATGTATCATGTAGTGCACGTAGATTTCTAAATCTCCTCTCAAGTGTATAGACTTGAAACTAATAAGGAGAGGTGACACACATTGCCCAAGTTTATGTGGGGATCAGTGTAGGAGATGGCAATAGAATCCAGATTTCCTAACTCCCGGTCTAGTACTGTACTAGTGGATCATGATATCGCTGTACCTAGGAAAGTCATATCCCTTGCACTTTCCATCTGGAGTATATGCTTTTCAAATGAACTTTGCAGTGTGCATTAGCAGGACATCTTTTACTCTCTCTTCTAGCTAGCATGCCTCTGTATCTTTAGACAAATTTATAGAGGCACACACATACATATTGATGCAGCGCAGTGAAAAAGTAGTGTTAGATGAATAAGATGTGGATTTGCACAACAGGCTGCATCTTTTTAGTTTTTGAAACAGACATTTTAGCAGCTTTGGGGAAGACGAGGTGCAATTCCTTACAGATTGCACTTGTCTGTCAAGCTTTCCAGCTGCTAGCTGTGCTTGAGTTGATATCTATAAAATCATACTCTGCACATATTACAAAGATTTATGTTCTTCCCCAGTGGGCAGAAGCATTCATACCTGCTCTCTCTCTTGTTCCAGTTCCTCTGCTTCCATACTCTGCTCGATCTCAGATAGCAGGGATGTGCTGGTTGTATTGAAGCTTTGCAAACTTCTCTCTTCACTAAGCTCTTCTACCTTCCCTTGGAGCTGTCGATAGGACAACCGAACTTCCTGGAGCTCCATCTGACTTTGGTGCAGCTTACAAAGGGAAATCGAGTAATATAAACCAGAAGGAAAAAAAAGGTTTGTGAAAGTGACTGAATATTGGATGGAACTCAGCTTGTAAAGGACCTTGATGGAAGTAAGGGGAGTCAAGAAAGAGGGTTTCTAGGCACGCTGGAAGTCTTTGCTCGTCTGTTGAGTTTCTAAATCTAAATCAGAATTTCATTACTAGAAATGTATTCTCTACTCGACTTAGTGATGAATGGGGTTCAAAATATGGGAAAAACAAAATCAGCAGGTTATGGAAAGCTAAGGCAAATTATGAGGAACTATTCCAAACACAGCTAAGAAAACTAGATAATTAGATGACATACCAACAACTGAATTTAAAAAAGGAAAAAAAATATCATACAAGCCTTTGGGTTTCAGAGGGTGATCCCTGATCATCTGAACCACAATCACCCAAGATTCACATCAACTACCACCAAAATTCAGAAAAACAACAATTTTATCAATTTGAAACTCCAGTTATCTTAACATTACAGGTATCCATCAAGATATTTTTGAAAAACTGGAGTTTATTTGTAATTATGAGAGGCTGAACAAACCAACAAACAATTAGTTAAAAAAGTGAACTGTTAATTACAAAGTATATATATGAAAACAAGCTGGTCACTGATAAACAAAGTAATGCAAACTTATTGGGTCTTTTTTTTTTTTTTTTAAAACACTGATGGAAAATCAAATAAGTCAGTATTTGGTGCAACAAATTTCTAGTAAGCATAAGGAAATTCAATGCAGACAAGTACATTAGAGGTGATGCACACTAAAAAAAAATAACATTTTAATTTATCTGTACACACTGGAAAGTTTCAAATTAGCTGGGTCTTTTTTCCTTAGAAGCTAACTTGGAAGAGTTAGTGTAAGTGGTGGTGAAAACAGATACTAATCTATACTAAAGTCTGGGATAGCAAGAAGCATCTTCTCATGTCCTTGTCATAACTAGATGTTTTTCCAGAATCGTTAACAAGCAATGGCTCTTTCTGTTGCTGCAGCAAGGTCCTCCTTGTATAGGTATCACCAAGGAGTCACCAAGCAAGCAGGTGCTCTATGGTCTGCACTTGCATGCACTTGCATGCACGTGTGTCAGTAGAGTAGCCCCATTTGATCATGTTTGTTTTTGAACTTCCAGTTTGCATGCACAGGTATTGCCATGCTGACCAGTCTGTATCAGGCACCCTGAGAAGGTCCTTCTGGGGCTCTAGGTCCTGATTGGGGCATCTGATTATACATAATCTTTCCTTCCATAACTTCAGTTGTGCCCTGTCAGCTGTTGTGTCCAAAGGTGCAACACTGGTCAAAATACTCTTTTGCACTTTAAGCCATTTTGTTACTTCTGCGTGACCATAGAGTAGATTCTTGGCATGAACTGATCACTCCCATACTGAACACGCATACTCTGCAGTGCAGTAACCCAAGGAAATAGCAGTGGTTCGTAATGTAGCTGGGTTCTCTCCCCACTTCAAGGTGACCAGATTTCAAAGCATGTTGTTGTGGGTGCCAACTTTCTCTTCTGTCTTTCATACATGCGCTTTGAAAGTAAGCTTGGCTTCTGTATGGTGTAGTAGGTGAAAGGCTGCAACCCGCACCTTGGTTGGGTTGGGAGAAAGCTGGTTCTTCTTGCAATAATATGAGAGGGTGCCAATGGACATGTCAGTCTACTCTTGACAGTGGCAAAATCCTTCTCTTGCAACATGATGCATAGATTATAAGCATATATGAAGCTCCTCATCTTGCTCTGTATGGGTTGATCGTTGATATATATGTTAAAGAGGACTGATGCTAGCATGCTGCCCTGTGAGAGGCCATTTTGTTGTCATCTTCAGCATCTCCATTTCTTGCACAGTTCTATGTAAAAATGCCTGTTCTCCAGAAGAGATTGGATGAGCTGCACTAGGTGGTAGTCATGAGTCATATCGTAGAGTTTGGCAAGCAGGTTTTGTGGGTGACTGTGTCATATGCCACTGATAGGTCTACAAATACAGCACCTGTTATCATCCTTTTCATTTCCTAGTTTTTCATAGATTTCATAGACATTAGGGCTGGAAGGGACCTCGGAAGATCACTGAGTCCAGCACCCAAATCCATTTTCTATATGCTGGGTGATGTTTAGTATTTGGCCAGTGCAGGACTTCCCTGGTCTGAATACAGCTTGTTCTGGTATTAGATGTTGTTCAATGTGAGGTGAGAGGTGATTGAGAATAAAATGTTCATAAAGTTTATAAAGATGGCACAGGAGTGATACCAACCTGAAGTTCTCTGGGCCAGAGGCATCCTTCTGCAGCTTTAATAGAGCTATTACCTGGGCTTGTTTTCACAGTTTAGGCAGTCTAAGGGTTGATGAACAACTGTTCAGAAAGGTGCAATACCCATAACTTGGTTGTAGGACCAAAGTGCTTGATCTGCTACGTGCATATGTCAACAAGTCCAGCTGCTCTGCCATTTTTCAAGTGACTTATTCCACCATCGAGTTCATCCATTGTGTAGGATGTGCTAAAATGATTTTCCTCCAGAACAGTTTGCTGTCTAATCCATATTTTAGGCTGTTTATTCGGAGCTTTACCATCGAACTGAAGCTGGTGAGCCACCTGGTTAGCTGTGATATTGTGGTATTGCTGTACCTTCTTTGGGTCATTACTCAGCTTGCGAATGATTGACCATGCTTTCTTACTAGTGTGGGTTATATGCCCCCCTAAGATCGCTGGTGCCCCCCTGACAGCGAGTGCTCTGGCTGGTAGTGGAGCATGGAGACTGCTAGTGCCCCCCCCTGAAATTGACTCCACCAGCACACTTGGCGACCAGCCGCTGGGGGACACTCCCAGTTGCCAGCTGGCCGCTGGGGGACCCCACCCCTTGGTCATGCCCCCCACAGACCTGGGAGGCACCAGTCACCCATAGTTATATCTATTCCTTTGATCAATTCTTTCCATTTCCATGGCCTTTCTTCTTGGAGCTTGTTAGTTAGGACTGTCCCTGCCACAACAGGATCTCTTTGAAACTTTGTCAGAAGACACGTTTGCTGGTATTTTTTGTATTCAGATGTTAGGATGGGAATAAATCCTGGTATATTACTTAGGCTTCTGATTTGATTTGGACAGATTAATCGGTTTCCTGATTCAATTCAGGTTCGGAAATCTCCTCTGAATTAAGTCAGTGACCAAAGCTTTGCACAGCCCTAGTATATACCTCTTGGAAGTTTTACCCAAGGTATTCACAAAGATGGCAGCTGAGACTGGTTCGATGTGTTACTTTTTTATCGGGGTCTTCAGGAAAGCCTCTCCAATCTGCTTTCTTAAAATTGAAACGTGTACACATTGGTACCATATTTGGAGTTTTGATAAGACAGGAAGTATGAAGTGTATCCAACGCAGGTATGCCCTCTACCTTGAACACTGCATTCTGCACTGGTCTTGTCATCTCAAGAAAGTTATCAGAAAAGACCCCATGGAAGGCAACAGAATTAAAGGTATGATATGATGGATATAGGATCTAAATATGAAAAGATGAAGAGGGCTAGGAGTATGCAATTTGTAAAGGAGAAGCAATATAGGATAGCTTTATAAATATTGAAAACTACAGAGAAGGAAGTGGGAATCTTCTATTTAATTTTCTCCCATTGTAGAGTAAATTGAAGGCATTTGCTGAAATTAAAAAGTCAAAACACAGGTATTTAAAATGTTTTAACTGAATATTAAAATAGATATTAAATAGCATCTTGCAGAAATGAGTTTGTGAATATACTTCTGCAAGATATGGCAGTAAATAAATTTCAGAACTTGATTAGACTCTTATGTGTAGGAGTAAGTTACATTAATTAGAATTACTTTATAAAGGCCTGCAAGTTGGATAGCTCATGGGAAAAGTAGCAGGTACAGTCTTTCATCTTTGGCTCACCAATTCAAATCCAGATCAGGTTAGTTACAGAACATTATTATACTTTGATACCTACATTTACATACAATGAATGTCTAGGTCTCACTCAAGTTCCTACCTGAAATTTGTCCAATCTGCAGAGCCACCAACACAGCTTATGGTAATTGGCCATCTAGGTGGGAAACTATGTAGCAGAGAGGCCATGGACCAATGCAGACTGAATTCCCTAGATGTAATTCCTCAAATTTGCATGGAGACAGTGGTAGAACGGAGTAAACAAGCTTTCAGTTTCCAAAGCAGGGTCTCAGGAAAAAGTCCTCCTTTTGGCTACTGTGATACAACAGTGGACTAAATAGATGCATCCCACGTAGGGTGATTTTATACTTTCTTTTGAAGGACCAGGCAGGTCCCTCTAGCTTGTTACCCATACCTGTCAGTCTGTTTTAGTAGTAGTCCCTTTGGCTGCCTATACACGTGCTGGCTCGTATTCTAATTAGAACGTGTTGGAGCAGACTCAGTTAATTAAGTCTGCTCCATGTTCTCAACAGAACTCTTCAGCGGGGCCTCACCATCACATGTATCAGCTTCCACATGTTTTAAAATGGCCACAGAGGCACTTTATCTAAATCCCATCAGATGAGGTTTAGATAAAGCACCTCGTGTCCATTTTTAAACATGCAGGGACTTAATATATGTAATGGTGAGGCATTTTAATTAGAGCGGCTCTCCAGGAACCTTTCTAATTAAAAGCCCCCCCCAAACATGTAGAGGCAGCCTTTATTCTTATGACCCACAAACCAGTAGAGAGCATGGGAGCTAACTGCCAAAGAGTAAAAATATCCAATATGGACACAAACCAGAAGAGGGTGAGGTGAGCTGAGAACATAAGCCATAAAATATTACCACTCTTTGCTCAGAAACATTCCTGAAACACCGACAGGCCAAATTGTTCAATAACATCTTAACAGTAACATTTACTAAGCTATGCTAAGAATCGATGGGCCTGTTTTGCAAACCTTTTGAACAGTAACCAGCCCCATATTTATTACCATATTCTGACTAAAAGGAATCTAAGAGGGCCCTTTCACAAAGTCAGTCCCATAAGAGAGAAAAGGAGAAATGCACTCAAATTCCTGAACCTACAATATCAGAAAATCATAGAAAAATGGGGTTGGAAGAGACCTCAGGCAGTTTTCTAGTCCAACCTGCTGCTCAAGGCAGGATCATTCCTGACTAAACCATCACAGTAAAGTGTCTATCTAATCTGTTTTTAATCCACAACATCTCTAGGTAGACAGTTCTAATGCTTAACCACCTTCATAGTGAAAAAGTTCTTTCTAATATGCTGCCTAAATTCCCTTGCTATAATTTAAGATCACTGATCCTTGTCCTGTCCCCTGTGGCCAAAGGAAACAGTCCATCTCCATCTTTCATTATAGCCAGCCCTTCAGGTATCTGATGACTATTATCAAATCTTACCTCAGTCTTCTCTTCTCCACACTAAAAATTCCTATTTCTTTTAGCTTTTACAGTGCTGACTCATATTCAGCTCATATTCACAGTAGACCATAAGGTCCTTATCTGCAGTACTGAAGCCTAGCCAGTCTCCTCAAGTCTTTATTTGTGCATGTGACTATTCTATCCCAAGTACACTTTTCCTTATTGAATTTCCATTTGATTAATAAACTAGAAAAATAGTCCAAAATCAAAGTCATTTTGAATCCTAGCCCTACCCTCCAGTGTCTAAAACTTCACCCAACTAGATGTCATTTGAAATTTTTCTAACAGTATTCTCAATTCCATCCTCCCCAGTCATTAATAAGGATATTAGACAATACCCAAGACAGACTCTGGGGAACCCCACTAAATACCTCCTCCCAGCTAGACACCAAACCATTGAGTATAATGATCCAACCAGTTATATATCCATTCTACAGTACATTCATTTCATCTGTATTTCCTTAGCTTGCTAATGAGAATTTCATGGGAGATCATGAAAATCCTTGCTAAAGTCAAGGTATATAGCATCCACTGCTCTCTCCTCCACCTCCGTTCTAAAATGTCTATTCTCCCATCTCACTGTTATAAGAATTCTTCCTTTCTTTTAGATTCCTTTGTCAGAGTCACCAAATGTTATCTCTGCTTCCTTGTTTGTCTTCTAGGAGTCATTTTACTCATATTTTCTGATCTTCAAATCCCCAATCAAGAGACTGGAGATTTAGGGAGGACCTTCCTCAGAACCTGTCCTTTAATCATATTTTGATCAGCTCTTTCTAGTTCCTGTTCCCTCACCTGCATATCCTTTTCATGGCTTTGTCGCTCCAGGATCAGGACTCGATCTTGCAGTTCCTCCACAGTTCCCTGAAGCAAATCATTTTCCTCCATCATGGCACTAAGGCGATGCTCAAGCTCCCTCTTCCTATCAGTAAGCATTTTAATCTGAGAAAGAGAGAGAGAGAGAGAGAAAGAAAGAGAAAACTGTAGTAGTGTTCCAGGCTTGAAAATAAAATTCACAACAAGGCAAGAAAATCAAAGCGAAAAGCAGAGTTCCTATCTATTCTGTACCTAGAGAGACTTTACCCTTATATGTAACTTAGGAAGAGGCTGAAAGATAACTCCTCCAGCCATAAAATGGCAGGGGCTGGAGTGTGAAAGAAGACCTTAAGTAGCTGGAATGTGCACTGCCAGGCAAATACAGAGCAAAGGAATGACAGAAGACAGACCATTGCATTCTCTGGAATTTCCTAAGAGATAAAGTAGAGCATAGCTCCACCCAACCATTCTCCAAGATTTCACCCACACAAATCAAACATGCAAGAATGTAAGAAGGTTGTTACTCAAACCAGGTTTATTATTAGCCTGTTCCCTGAATAACCTAATATTGGAATTCCCAATTATTTCTTGGAATTCCCTGGAGGGAGGGAGCAAGTGTGCATGCACACAATGACACAGCTGCTATGCCCTTTGTGGATGGCAGGGAAGCAGCAGTTTGTTACATGTTGAATTTGACAATTTCTCAACAGGATATAATTTTACTCTTAATCATTTGTACAAAACAGTCTTTTTTTTTTTGCAAGTCTTCCAACAATCACTTATTTTAAAAATAGATTCAAGTTTTTAATTATCAAGTGCAGCATTTTCAGGTGCAGAGGGACAATGTGCCAAGTCTAAACCTTTGCAATTCATTTAGCAAGGAGCCATGTATAGGATGAATCAGCACTGATCAAGGTCACAACTCTTTAACCAAGAAAAAGGAGACATGTCCCAATCTCGTTTTCTACCCATGTGATCATTCTCTACGCCTCCCCAGGATATTGGCATGCTTGGTGTTTCACTAACTACCCAACACTCCCATTTGCTCTCTTATTATGCTTGCAAGCCTCCAAATCTCCCAGCAATTCCTGCTCTGCTCCTACCATCAAAAGTGGCCTACCTTAGCCATTTCCCATGGTTTCCTCAGCTTGTCTAGCGCTCTGCCCCTTAGCTGCTCCCAGGTTTTTTCAAAGCACTCCAGAGCTTGGGGAATAGGCAAAAGGATCTTTTCAAATCTCCTTTGCAGCTCCTTGATTAATCTATTATCTCTTTTCAGCAGCTCGTCCCATTCTGTGACTTCTGCCCTTTTTGGATGCCCTCTTAGGCCTCACTGACCCATATCCTAAATACCCTATAAGACATTTTAGGCTCTGTTTATCCATTTTATGGCCATCTCAGCTCTCTCCTTTGGAACCCCCACATCTTATTGCTCTCTAGGTCTTCTCCAGTACACCTGCATTATTTGCTAACTGTCCTCCAGACTCCCAGATATCTGCTTTCTGATTACCTTCCAAGTCTTCCTTATGATTATGCCCATAATGTATGGATAGTCTCTGGACACAGATTAACTAGACAGTCAGCTGTCTTGGAGAAATAATAAACACCGAATTTGCCCAGAGGAGTTAAATATTTATAGAGATGAAAGAATGCAATAAAAACTAAATATATCTATGCTATTTCATCAATAGAATCTCACCTGTACATACTATTTTTATATGAGTAATGATTTCTAGGATCTTTCTTTCCATTACTATTGTTACTTCGGCATGCCAGTGAGAAGAGATGCAGCAGAAATAAACATATATCATAGAGAAGGACTGTATTTTAAAGTTAGCTTTAATTATCAAATTCAGTAATGAACACTCTGTGAATGGCTATATAAAAATACAACTCTCCTCTAGGCCTCTCGCCAGGGGTAGAAGTGTAAGGAGGAATGGATGATCTAAAAAGCACAAGACAAGAAGGAACTTAACAGGTGAGGCATGCACAGTGATGGTAACAGATATGCAGTCAAATGCCAATCAAAGCATCTGTACTTACTTCAAGGACTTGCTGCTCCGCACAAAGGGGAAAGGGAAGAAAAGGAAAATGGGAAAAGGGGCAGGGAGGAAAGAAGAAATTGACAGACTTTAGGAAAAAGTTCTTACAACCAGTCTAGCCTAAATCAAAGGGGAAAGGAACAAACCTGCTTACATATCAGAGCTAAACTACAAGGGGCCTCCCCTCAGCAAAGGAGATTTCCTGCTTTCTTCTAAACCATGCAGAACAAGACAGACATTACAAAACAACCCCTGCTCCAATGCATTTGGGAGTGGTCCATAGGAAGGTAACAATATTGGGCTCCTGGAAGATTGCCACATCTTCCTGGTAAGAATTTCCTTTAGACACTGGTGTAAGTAAATTGAAAGATGAAGGTAAACTTTCACTACAATTGGTAAGAAGGTAGGGGAGCAGTGTTTTCTATCCCATCATATTAACCCTTTAATTCGGAACATTCACACAGTTGGTGTGATATAGCAGGGGACATCTTCCATTTACCGCTCAGAGAAAGAGCCCATACTTATTGCAAAACATGTTTTTGTGAGAACAGGCATAGATGTATGACAAAAGTCAGCATCTTAAAGAGGGTAAACTGAGGGGCACTTATTTGACCAACACTGTTTGGTACAGTAGCTCAAAAGAATCTATTTGCAAAATAAGAGATATGATCCCTGTGTCACTGTTAGTGGAAGCAAGGGACATCAACTAAAAAGGAAACATAGGTGGCCAACCCAATGAACTAAAGCTCTCTCTGCCCTCCCACTAGTATTCCTTCATCTTACTGGCACAAAACATGACTATTAACCTTTTGGTTTTGTGTCCCCAGTTCAAAGGGGTTTATTATAGAAGATTAAACCAAAACATACTTGCTTACTTGCTATTAAACCATGATGGGCAGCCAACTCACCTCAGCTTGGAGACTCTCAAGCCGTACTATATGTTGGTTGGTTGAGGAGCTTTTCTCCCGGAAGTCTTCTCGAAGAGTATGGACCTGCATAGAGAGCTGTCTCTCCACTTCCGATGCCTGCAGAGAGGAAGCCAACTGAAATTACCTCAGAGTAAACAACATAGGGCAGAAAAAAGTAGAAAAATACAAGTTGTAAAATCTCTTTTGGAAGGGAGAAGTGTATGTAAGAGTGAGCTGTAAATTAATTTTATTTCCCAGCAAATTCTTAACTCAGTGCAAGCCAAAAAGATTGCAAACCAACCCAGAATTAATCCCATGTAAATTTCTACTATAGCAATTCAAGTGTCTCTTTTCCTGCAGGGATAGAGGGCAGTCAATTGAATATAACCCACAGCTTTCCCCAGTATCAAAATATTGTATTTTTTACAACCTTTATTCCATACAGGTGCTTGGGCTAATCTTCAACAGCAGCTGCCCAATTTGCCTCATCTGTATCTGCTTATATTGGCTAGAAAAGAGGTATAGCTCAGTAGGTATAGCTGTGCAAAGCTTTGTTCCCTGATTCGATTTGGCGGATACCTGGCCTGATTCGGTGGCCAAATCTCCGAATCCAAATCGAATGAGAGGACCCTTTAATCTCTCCAAATTGAATCAGAACCCTCTGAATTGACTCGGACACAGAGACAGCTTTAAATGGTTTTTCTGCATACGTCTAGGGAGCAGGGGCTCATGAATGCTGCGATGCTGGGGTGCACGGGGCGTCCCACAGAAGCACGGGGGGATCCCCAGCACGCTCGGCAGCAGACCCGGAAGTGGGCCAGAAGCACTTCTGGTCGCCCCTGGCTGCTGCCGACGCTGCCAGAGGCACCTGCGGGTGATCGCTGACTCCTGGTTGGTGCTTGCCACCTTCCAACCCCCCCGTCAACAGTGCCGGCGGTGTCTGCGGGAGCTCCCTGCTCACCACCACCAGGTTCCTGCTGCCACCAGTGCAGCTGTGCCCCCCCAGCCGCTGGGGGCACGCACTGGTCATGAGAACAGTTACAGGACAGCCTGCCAGCCAGATACAAGTACTCCTGACTTAATGTCGTCCTGGTTAATGTTGTTTTGTTATTACGTCGCTGATCTATTACAGAACATACTCGTTTAAAGTCGCGCAATGTTCAGTTATAACGTTGTTTGGCTGCCACCTGCTAGCAGGTAAATACTGTGACGTAATTGGATTTGTTTACCATCGTTTCGCTTAAAGTTGAATTTTCAAGAACGTAACTATGACGTTAAGCAAGGAGTAGCTGTACATTTCCAGTCAGACTGGATTTGTAACAGATCTTTCAACGGGAGGGATTCAGCAACATTTAAAAAAAAACAAAACTTATTTCTACTTAAATGCTCTGTAGATGGTTTGGTGTCTGACTTTTACATAAATACACATAAGATTATAAACATGTGACTCTTATTAAAAACTCCTTGTTACGTATCACAATTGGATGGTCTGTTTGATAGGGTTGTGACTTCCATTACACCTATACAGAAAAAAACCAAGAGAACAAAACATCCCCTCTCCCCACATAGGTTAATTGGTGGGTAGCAATGGTATAAGAGACAGCAAAAGCAATCCTGACTTTCTGCTCTGTGGGCACAGTGCCATGTCAGGTTGGGGCTGAACTTGCTAATAATGGGGTCCTGACTTAAAGATTTTGGGGTGAAGACCTCCTTTTTGTGGAAAGAGGAATTCCCTCAGGAATCACTGGAGTGACAAAATCAGTATAACCATTCAGTTCTGTCAGCAAACATCATGCTAGTGCCACTGTCTCAGTCCTTGCTCCTTAATCCAAAGAGGGATTGCCGCTAAAAAACAGGGTGGAATTTCCTGCCAGCTCCTTAAATCCTGTTTGTTTCCCCTATCAATCAGTGACAGGTCCAGCTCTGAAAATGCTGCTGCTCTTCTGATGAGTAGGAATTTACACCGCTGCACTTGTATGCAAAGTTCTGCCATGGCTATGCTGCATGGAAAGGCTACAGCTTGCTGGGTTCAGCAGATATTCCTTGTATTCAGAGTGGAGGGCAGTTGGGGAGTAACTGATGATTAGGCGGCTCCACCAGTCATTTTTGTCTGAGGGTTGAGTGAAGGCATAACCAGGGTAGCAACCCTGAGCGCTGGCTTGGAGAGGGGATGTGTGGTGAAAAAGGAGTGCAAAACTAACTGCTGCTGCTACAGCTCTGCTTTAATGTTGGGGGTATGGCAGCAGGCAGAAATTGCCACTGCTCCATGCATCCCACTACCCTGGGTGCCTGGCTGCTTTATTACACCTCTGGGGTTCAGTGCAAATGAAAAAATGCTACAGCAAACCTTTGCATGCAGTGGCAGCATAGTCTGTTATGATGAAGTGTTGCCAATCTGACATACAGTCAAAGGAAGCAATGCTGTCAAGCTGGACAGAGAAAAACATGAACATTATTCTACCATTTCTTACCAACATAAGAAATGTTCAGCTTCAATCTAAGGCATCTACTCCATGTTTCATACAGTACACAATTAACTGGTTAATTGTGCAATAAATTTAAAGCAGCCACATGTGCAAAGTAATTATTACATCATAAAGGGACTACCCAGCTATAAGGGCCAGCCAGCTACAAATTTAGTGCCTGAAAATGTATAACAACTCTATAGCGGGTTTCTAGCCAGCTTTAATTTGAACACGTTGCGCGTAGGGGTGTGCGAAGCGGGCCCAATTGATTCGGATTCAGATTCAGCCCGAATCAGGGGCAGTGATTCGATTCGTGGATTTGGATCGCTGCCCCCAATTCGATTCAGCTGAATCCAAATTTAAAGATTTGATGCTGATTCGGAGAATCAGCAATTCAAACAGACACAGCTTTAAAAGTTTTCTCTACATACCACAAGGTACCATAAAATCATAGAATCAATGAGTGGGAAGGGACCTGGACAGATCATCTAGTCCAACCCCCTGCCATGGGCAGGAAGGAGCACTGGGGATGGCAGGGGTCATAAGACCCCAGCCAGGTGCCTATCCAGTCTCCTTTTGAAGATTTCCAGGGAAGGTGAGAGCACCACCTCTCTGGGAAGCCTATTTCAGGCTCTGGCCACCCTTAAAGTGAAGCAGTTCTTCCTAATATCTAACCTAAACCTATCCTCCCTCAGCTTGTGGCCATTGTTCCTGGTGACTCCAAGGGGGGCCCTGGTGAACAGACTTTCCCGAGTCCCTGCTGCTGGCCCCTGATAAGGTTGTAGGCAGCCACAAGATCCCCCCTCAGTCTCCTCTTGCGGAGACTGAAAAGATTCAGGTCCCTCAGCCTTTTCTCATAGGGCTGGCCACGGAGGCCCCCAACCATATAAGTGGCCTCCTCTGGACCCTCTCTGGGTTCTCCATGTCCCTCCTGACGTGCGGTTTGCGAACGCTGGGATGCAGGGGCAGAGGAAGCATCCCACAGGAGTGTGGGGGGGGGCCCTCCACGTGCTCGGTGGTGAACCTGGAAATGGTCCACTTCTGGGTCCACTAGGGAGCACGCAGGGGTCCGGCCCGCGACCCACCCCCTCGGCTCGGCAATCAGCCGTGGAGGATCTTGGGTGCCGCCCCAGACCCAGGAGGCACCAGTCGCTGAGCCAGAAGGGTGTGAGGGGGCCCCCCATTGGGCTCCTCAGCAGACCTGGAGCTAGACCAGAAGTGCTTCTGGTCCACTTCCGGACCTGCAGCAGAGCACCCTGGGGAGCCCCCTGGGCTTCTGTAGGAGACTCCATGTGCCCCAGCATCGCAGCATTCACGAGCCACCTGCTACCTAGAGGTATGTAAAAAAACATGTAAAGCTGTGTCTATGCCCAAATCTCTGAATTGATTCAGAGGGCTCTGATTTGATTCGGAGAGATTGAAGGGTCCTCAGATTCATTTCGGATCTGCAGATTTGGCCATTGAATTGGGCCAAGTCTGTTGAATCAAATCAGGGACCGAAGCTTCACACAGCCCTAGTGGCAAGGCCCCAAATATCCTAAAAATGGACATGGGGATTAAGGTACAACTGTTTCAAAATGATCCTTAAATGTGCATATCTCAACAAATCACAACCCTCAGCTGAGCAAGCCACTCCATTTCCTCCAGACTGAAAAAAAGTAGTAAAACAGAAGAAAATAGCTTCGTTAGTTTTTTTCTGACTTTTCTTCTTCCCTGATTGCTGAATGCTCTTCAAACAAGATAGACTTTCTAAGGAATCTGTACTGCACAACATCATGATTAAAAAACTAGAACAATATAAAAAAACCCCAACCTGGCACACATTAAATGGATTAAAAACTAGCTTAATGGGAAGTCAGACAAGATGATCGCAATATTTCCTTGTGTTTTTATAATGAATCAAGTTACAAGCTCTATGAGAAAGTTTTCCCTCATGTCTAACCTAAGCGTCCCTTGCTGCAATTTGAGACCATTGCTCCTTGTTCTGTCATCTGCCACCACTGAAAATAGTCCAGCTCCATCCTCTTCAGAACCACCTCCAGGTAGTTGAAGACTGTTATTAAATCCCCTCTCAGTCTCCTCTTCTACAGGCTAAATAAGCCCAGTTCCCTCACCCTCTCCTCATAAGTCACGTGCCCCAGCACCATAACCAATTTCATTGCCCTCTGCTGGACTCCCTCCAATTTGTCTACATCCTTTTCGTAGTGGGGAACCCAAAGTTGGTCACACTACTCCACATGTGGCCTCCCTCACCAGTGACAAAGAGAGGGGAATAATCACTTCCCCTGACCTGCTGGCAACACTCCTACTAATGCTGCCCAGTATGTCATCATTAGCCTTCTTCACAATAAGGGCACACTGCTGGCTCGTATTCAGCTTACTGGACCCCCCAGGTCCTTTGCTGCAGAGCTGCTGCTCAGCCAGTAGGTCCCCAGCCTGTTCTGGTGCATGGGACTGTTCCATCCCAAGTGCAGGAATTTGCATGTGTCCTTTTTGAACCTCATGAGATTTCTTTTGGTCCAATCCTCCAGTTTGTCTATGTCTCTCTGAATCCTAGCTCCTACCCTCCAGGATATCTACCACTCCTCCCAGTGTGGGGTAAATCAACAGGACTTAACCACCTAAATTACTCAAGTAATTTTGAAAATGTTA